CACACACACACACACACACACACACACACACACTTACTTTATATTAGGAAATGTCTGTGTCAGCTTTGAAGTTAGTCAATGTTGCCGACATGACCACCTGTTACTACTTTATTTTCCAACAGCACATTCAGACAAGTTCTCATCTGAGCCGTCAGATTCCAGCTCAGGAGAAAGGAACGACTTCAATCCTGATAGTCCTTGTGGGGTTCCAGAAGACACCGCTTTGTCTGAGAAAGGCTGGGAACCAGGGACTTCGGATCAAACCAGTGCTGACAGCACTGCCCATCTCAGCAGCCCTGATGCTGAGCCCAAGACACAGACGGAAGCTGTGGGGCCCGTGCCGCCCGAGGAAACATCAGCCACAGACTCTGCTCTCCAGGACACCGATGACAGTGACGATGACCCAGTCCTGATCCCAGGTGCCAGGTATCGAGCAGGACCTGGTGACAGGTTGGTAAATTTTTAATTAAAATGAACTGTAAAAAGTATAATTCACAGGCTTTCTTTGAAGTCACATAAAGGAGTCTCCATTTTGGACAGTTGCTTTCTCTAAGGATGTAAACTTACGGAGCTTTTCAAACGAAATCATTTCACATGATACCTTCTCTGAGCAGAGTGTGCATGAAGAGGGAGCGCAGTCTCCTGCTGTTTCTCTGACACTGAGGCTGCTCCTCAGCTTGCAGATGGGAGGGAGGAACGTTGGTAACGCCCAGCAGCTTAGTCGTGAAGTCAGGGGTATATTTAGCCATCATATTGCCTTGTGGACATCCTGGCCTTTAGCAGGTTTTTGGATACTTTTTACTCTTCAGTTTATCTGCTTTTCTGTTGACACTGGATAAGGTAGTGTGATAGCAGTTCTTGTTTTGAGAACATTGTTTTTCTCTGATTTCTACTAAATTTTAGTAACTTAATTTAGACACTGAAAAATTGCACCAAATAACAAATATTGTAACCATGATAAAGAATTGAATTGCTACCCAGCCAGCGTAGCTCAGTGGTTGAGCATTGACCTATGAACCAGGAGGTCACAGTTTGATTCCTGGTCAGGGCACATGCCCATGTTTCGGGCTTGATCCCAAGTGTGGGGCATGCAGGAGGCAGCCAATCAATGATTGATGTTTCTATCTCTCTCTCCCTCTCCCTTCCTTTCTGAAATCAATCCTATATAATAAAAGCCTAATATGTTAAGTGTCCGGTCGTCTGGTCGTCCATTCAACCAATCAAAGCATAACATGCTAATGATATGCTAAGGCCACTCAACCGCTTGCTATGATGTTCACTGACCACTGGGGGGCAGACAGTCAACTGGTCGACCAGTCGCTATGACATGCACTGACCACCAGGGGGCAGACGCTCTGACCAGTAGGTTAGCTTGCTGCTGGGGTCCAGCCGATCAGGACTGAACGAGATGGGCTGGACACGCCCTGGAACCCTCCCACGGTCCCTCCCCGGCTGGCCAACCTCCCGCATCCCTCCCCAGCCCCGATCATGCACTGGTGGGGTCCCTCGGCCTGGCCTTCACCCTCTCACAATCCAGGACCCCTCTGGGGCTGTCGGAGAGCCAGTTTTGGCCCGATCCCGCAGGCCGAGGGACCTTACTGGTGCACGAATCCATGCACCGGGCCTTGAGTAAAAAATATATTTTTAAAAAAGAATTGAATTCCTAACATGGTCAGGTACTTTTCCCTATATTTGTACTTGGAGATTAATCATACGTCTCTACCTGCACACATTAGTCTTCAGCGTTCTTACTATATATTTTAGACAACTAACACTTTCCATACCCAGAGGGAGTCCCACAAGGTTAGGAGGCATAGCACATTTAGAAAATCAAATTGATGGTTTCTGAAACCTAGGGTGGAGAGTGAGAGTTGTGTTTAAGTCTGTACGTTTAAGGCCTCTGTGGTATAAGGGACACGTGTCCTTGTTTTTATCTGTACATAGGTAACAAAAACTATACTAAGGTCATAATGAAAAACAAAATTTAACTATCCACTTTTAAGTAAAACGTACCATATCACTTTCCAGATTTGTTTGCTTAAATAAGAAATTGTATTTTTAATAGATACTAGACACTTGCAGAAAATCATAATTATTTAGCATCTTCTGTCCAGGCTAATTACCACACCTTTATACCAAGCGTGCTTAATATCTGAGGTATTAAGCACGGGTTTTCTATAATCTAGACCTAAGGCGCATTTTTTTAAACACAGTAGTATAACATCAGTAAAAAGGAGGAACCGTGTGTGCTGGTCCCACACTGCGCAGTGCGTGCACTCTTGAATTCATGCTCTCCTCCCCCGCACCCAGATCTGAGACCGCCTCTGGGTCTGCACTTGCTTTCCTGCTTTTTCTAATGAACTTATGTGATAGTCTGTGTACTCATTTTAGGTATTTAACCTTAGTTTGTCCCCTGTGTTATTTTGTGTTATTCTATAGGACATGGTAGTAAACTTACTGAAGAGTCACCGAAGGATAAAATCCTTACCCTTAGAGAAACTCAATTGAAGAACAAGAGGATAGTACACAAGCCACTTATAAGAACATGGAAAACAGTTTTAATAAACTTATGAAATTAAATACAGTGCTCTACAAAGATGTACATATGAATGTGATGCCAAACTGTTTATAATCATTGCTTCACAGTTTCATCAATTTTTCTTTGATATTTACATTATTCTTTCCTAGCTATTTACCAAAAATTTGTAATGGTGAAAAATCTTCCTTCTGACTTTCATCTAAGTAGTTTTTAAGGTTCCTAACTTCCGTAGCACCATCTTAAGTCTTGAGCAACCTGTATAAAATATACTTTTACTATCTCTGCCCTTTCTATGGCTCTTCATCCTGAGACTGCTGCCTGTTTAACTTCTGCATTCAGAGGAATAGCTGTGTTAACTGTATTCTAAAGTGAGAAAGTTTAAGACCCTTTGCTTCTTAGGAACATGGAAAAGAATCATTTACCAGCATGTAAGTAGGCATATGATTTTTGAGAATTTATTTCTGAAGGGACAGAGACTCCCAAACTCTGTTGTAAAACATGCAGTTCTTGGGGTCTCAGGATACATTTCACACGTGGATAAAATGCCCAATTAAAGTATGCACGTTTTAAAGAGAAGCTGGTCAAGATCAGTTCGGTTAGAGTAGAGAAATGGTCCGAAAATTGAAAATGGTGAAAGTGTGTATTTAGGTCTGTACTTTAATTTTTATAAAGAATTACATAGTAGAGCTCATAATTTCTTTTGTCCCCAATTTTTTTTTTAATCTTCACCTGAGGACATACTTTTTTTTTTTTTTTTTGAGAGAGAGAGAGAGAGAGAGAGAGAGAGAGAGGGGAAGGGGGAGGGGAGAGAGAAAGAGAGAGGGAGAAAGAGAGAGAGACATTGATTTGAGAGAGAAACATCAATTGGTTGTCTCCCATACATGCCCTGAATGGGAATCGAACTCGAAACCTTTCACTATATGAGATGATGCTCCAACCAACTGAGCCACACTGGCCAGGGCCCAAATTTCATTTTTAAAAATGAAACCTAAAAAGTTTATAGCCAAGCCATTTTGGACAAACATTTAATAAAAATATCAAAACAGTTCTTTGCAATGCAGAATAATGATTTCTCTTTAAAGATTTGTATTCTTAAAATTTGGTTAAATAAGTACAACCTTGGTTTTTACTTTGGGCTGAGATTAAGCATGAGAAGGAAATGTCTTAGAAAATAAAGACCTTAACAACTAACATGGCTATTTTAAAATGGAATGCTCTTATTAACTACAGCTAGTCTCGGTGTAAACAGAACTGGAGTCTATAGCAGAGGTCGACAGACTTTCCCTAAAAAGCCAGAGAGTGAATCTTCTAGGCTTTGCTGGCCAAGAGGCAAAATGGAGGCTGTTATGTAGGTACTTATATAACCATTTAAAATGTCACCATTTACAAATGCAAAACTGTTCTTAGCTGCAGGGTTAGGTCCGAGAGCCATAGTTTGCTGCTCTTCCCTCTGTAGCCAGTCGGTCTGATAGAGAAACCAGGCTAGAGTCTGTGGTAAAACATCTTGACTGGCAGATACCCAGAGTTAAGAACAATGAAAAGTCTGTGATCCCCACATATTAGGTCCCTGTGAACTTGGTCTGGGACAGGAACATAGAAGAGTAAATGGAAACTAAAGTGAAGGAAGAAATAAAAATGATATTGATAAAACACTACGTAAAAGTAGTGTGTGTGTCCCTTAGTGATTTTACTTACTGGATTTAGAAATAGACACACATGCCTGGGAGTGGGGTGAATAGTAAGTGGGGTTTTTATGTAAAGTGTTTTCAAGGTGCCTAATCCATCTTAGAGTAGAGGGCGGAGGCCTAGCTAGTAGCTCTTCGTCCTGCAAAGTCCAGGAGTGCTCTGCTCCGAACCCGGCGGCATCTCAGTAAGCTTCCTGCGAATAGGTTGTGGTTACAGACTCCAAAATTCAAGACATTAACCCCATATTGCCTGTTAATGATTTTTAAAAAGTATTTATTTGCATAGAAATTTGGTTCCAGTTACCTACTGGAAGCCAAAATTCTTCACATACTGTAAATTTGCCATCAGCTATTTAGTCATCATATAATCACTTTCAGTATTTCTAATGATTCAGGTTTATTCTTTATTAAAGAAAATTGCAGAGAAAAAAAGGATAATCATAGAGAAGAAAAAGGGTTCCTACGGCATTAAAAGCTGTGTTGTTCTTCGCTCCCTTGTTATATGGTCTTCTGGTTAGGACAGTGAGTCAAATCGGCTTAATTAGTTATTTCCCAAAAGAGCAGCTCAGCCCTGAGAGGTCCCCCAGGTGCCCAGGGGATGGTATGGAAGATCTGAGTCCTGGCAGGTCCCTCCACTGGAACAGGGCTGGGTTCTAGCCTGTTTAAAAGACAAGGGGTTAAGTGCAGGGTCTTTCTTCTAATCTGCCTTCAGTGAGTGTTCTGCTTCCTTCATTTCCTCAACCATTCATTCAACCATTTAGTTGAATGACAGATTCTCACATAATACCCTAAAGCACAAAGGGAAGCAAAGGTTTTTTCAGGTTGAGATGTTTGGTGATGAAAGTGGTGACCTTGATGCTTTACATATCTGGTTCTTGGAGGTCTGTGAGTGACTTTATTGTGTTCCCTTCACTAGATTTATTATCAGAGGAACAACAATAGGTGATAGAATAATGAGGTAATTCAGTATGTTCCTTCATTCTTTTTCTTTATGATGAATTTGCCAGGTCGTCCTTTTCCACCGCTAACCACCTTTCCTATTAACAGTTAATACTCCTGGAACGTACTGAACTCTTCAGTGCTAAGCGTCGTCAAGCAGGTTGCTTTTCACGAACTGACTTAGCTGCATGACTGCATGGGGATAGAGTGAAAGGAAATGTCCTGTGTGCACACCTAACGGATGCTCACATCAAGTGTGTCGTATGCTAAAGCGACTACAGCCTGAAATGATGTACTTTAAATGTTGGTGATTTGCTTTGACTATGTTGTTGAGAAATGCAACTTAGGGTATTTTTAAAAGCTGATTGGGATAACAATTAGCAACTTTAGTCATTATCTCATTTTCCTTGAGATCATTAACTAAAAAATGGACGAGTCTAATTCTGTGCATAAAGATTCTGATTTTTTAAAAAGAAAGCTGTATTTGTACAAATACCTTAATAACTTAGTAAGGCCACACATCAAGATAATACACAATTCTCAAATACTTCTGCAATCTGAAGACTAACACAGGGGTACATTTTAAAATATGAAAGTGAACCTCGGAACTATTACTTATCTACACAAAACCTGGTGTACTGACTAAAGCCACCCAGTGCCTCATTCTGGTGGCACATGCCTATTATTTACCATTCGTTTCTGAAACAAAGTGGAATATGAGACACAATATATAGCAACAATCAGGAATACAACCATGGTGGAAATAAGCCAAAAACTATTGTTGATGTCTAAGAAATCCCCTGTTAGTGTCTCGAAATTGTTTTTGCTTTTATGCTGGTGTTTCTAGGCTGTTTTCACATTAAGGTATGTTTGAAGTAACTTTTAGCAAATTGGTCTGTTGCCAATTATCACTTTCTAGTTAAATAACAGTAAGATGGAATTTGTTTCAGGGCTTTTTGAATTTCTGGTTTATACCTTTTATCCCAAGTACTCCAAGCCAGTTTCTGCTCTCACAATGACGATTGCAACTAAAAAATACCATGTTGCTTTAAATGAGTCACATTTAACCATTGAAGTGGAGATTATTATGAACTGGTGAACCGCGATAAGCAGAAATGTGACCCTTACCTCCCTCCGAGGTAATTTAGACTCATTCTGCTCTGCCTCAGTTGTTTCTTTCTTCCAGAGAGATGGTCTGGGGAAGTTTCTAAGGAAAGGCAGTCCCTCCCTGCCCTTGTTCCTCATTCCTGTTGTTGTCTCCCACTCATTTTCTGCCTTTTGTGATTTTAACTCAGCATTTTATATGTGTCCATTTTCTTTCCTTTCTTGGCATATCAATTATACTTTTATTTTACTTCTTTTAGTGGTTGCCCAAGAGTTTATTTCTGAAATGTTTCATACATATGAATGTCTTTTATGAATTTTAAATCATATGCCAAGTTAGTATAACGAATCATAAAAGAATTGGTAACTAATATTCTCAAAAACAACTTTGTGAACAGTAGGCTTTTAAGGAATATTTGCTGCTTCGTGTTCTTCAGATGTATGTATATGTGTTCAATGGAAAACTTACAATAAAGAGCGCACTCTCTTTTTACCTAGAGAACCGCTTTAAACTCCCAGCAACAGTGCCTGTTTCCTGCACTCTTGCCACCCACAGAAGTCTTGTTCATCTAATAGACCTAGAGAGATCGGATTGTTTTATCATTATCTCATTATTAGTAAGGCTGAGCATCTTTTTATATATTTATTAACCATTCATTTCTTCTGTAATTTTTCTACTCATGTCCTTTGCATATTTTTCTGTTATGATGTTCGTTTTTCTTACTGACTTAATAGACTTTTTACATATTTTGGATTTTGGGTCTATTACATGTTGAAATACAATGTTTTAAATAACATATTCAGACTAAGAAACTTATTAAGTAGTATCATGTGTTAGGACAAATTTCTTCTAATAAGTAAATCAGTCTTAGGAGCCCATTATTCTTTAGTCTCCAACTCTGTCATCAGCTGAGCTCTTAGGAGAGTAAAGTCTGCCTCAGTTGCCCCGAATCTGTACTCCACCATGGAGTCCATAGAGCTTAGATGCTCTGGGAAGGTCTCTTTTTATTGCACGTATGTTAATATTTATTCTCTTTTTCTTGACTCGTCTGTTCTTTGCTGTGAACATCTTTAAACAAAATCTCAAAACATATGTTTATCTATTGCTATTACATGTTACCCTTAATTTCTTTTGGTTTCTATTTATGCCTTTATATTTCCTAATGTGGAGAGGAAAAATGGCATGGACTAGGACTTGTTTTATTTGTGGTAAACTGCACATGAATTTGTCTGTATTACATTTTTATAAAACAGCCCTTTAAACCCCAGTGTGCCGCATGCTACTCCCTTTACCATCCTAGCCAGGACCGAATCTCTAAGTGATGTGTTCACTAAAACATCTTGTTCTCGTAACTCAACTAGTCTCGTGGAGTCCCACTGTCATGTCTGCCTTTGATGCTTTCTGTAGGGGTGTCTTACTGAGATAATGTTTAGTCTACATATTTTCTGACTTACTGACTTAATGTGTATCATTGCATTCCACAGTCGTCCGTGAGTGTTTCTCATTTATTTCCGTTCTCTTCTTTTTCATATGTAACTCATAGACGCTCTGCTGTTGCCCGCATTCAGGAGTTCTTCAGGCGGAGGAAAGAAAGGAAGGAAATGGAAGAACTGGACACTCTGAACATTAGAAGGCCACTAGTGAAGATGGTTTATAAGGGCCATCGCAACTCCAGGACAATGGTACCAAGTGCTCTTGGCATTCTTTGCAGAATGTGCACTTTCATAGCATGAATGTTTTTGCATAACAATTATCCTCCTGTGTTGCCAGTGTGGCTCCAGTATAGCTGGCACCTTCACAGTTCTCTCCAGACCCAAACACGTTCTGGTCCTGTGGTATGTCGGGAAAGGCCAATAGTTTGTATAAGGAAACTACTCTACCGAGGAATTATTGTAGAGTTTAAATTTTTAGCTTATACAGGTAACCATTGCTTCTTCTTTGCTCTCTCACACTTGCTGTGTACCTTCCTAGTAGGTTGTTTTGGAGAGAAGGGTTTGGATATGTGAAACTCAGATTCATTGAGAAATATAGTCAGGTTGCTTTCATCATCACCCCGTTAAGATGGACAAGTCAAGATTGGTTTTAGTCACTTTGCTCCCTGGACTTGAAGTTCCTCATCTGTGAATTGAACAGAACAGATCTGATGATCTCTAAGGTCTTTTCCAGTTTTTGCCATCCCCACATCTGTGCACCCAGTGCTACATCCGTCACCTAAGGGAATATTGGGAGGTGGCTAGTATGTCATAACTGTGATTCTGAACTATGTATGTCTAGAAAGTGCTGTTCTCATATTCACTGAGTTCTCAAAACATATCTATAGAATCAGTTTTAAACTGCTTTCTTACTTTAGGGAAATAATAAGCTCTCTATAGAAATCAGTGATCAATTTAATCATTCAAAAAATACTATTATTAATAGAAGTAACCAATTTACATTTCTTGCATTTTGCTGGTTAAAATTTTGGAGGAAAATAATTAGGGGCTGGAATGAGAAAAAAAGAAGATAAGCAAGTAAAATAACAGCTCCAAGTAAGAACAGAACTGGCTCCCCTCTTTTGCTCTCCCAAAAATAGCAAAGTGGCAGCTGCAGATAAAATGACTGGAAAATCCAATCTGAAGCACAAAGATTTTGATGGTTTATTAGTGTGCATCCATTGAAAAAAATGTCATCATAACCACTCCAACTGTCATATTCCTTTGTCTCGTTGCTTCATAAAAGTAAATGTGTTTATATCTTTCCTTCTTAATTATGAGAACTTCAAATAACTAAGAAAAAGATTGGTACTTTTTGTTATACTGTCCAAAACCCAGAAATTTTATTCATTCATTTAGCAGTTAATTAATTCAGCACCTACTGTGTGCTAAGAACCGTTACAGGCACTATAAACACAGTATTGAACAAAAACATATCCCTGTCCTCGTGGGGGACTCTTCATTACTGAAGGCTGGATTCCCTTTGCTGGCAAATCTATCGTGATTTGGAGATACTAGAAGACCAGGACGCTCTTCAATTTGTATTTTATTTTCTAAGCCAATTACTTTTTTAACATAAGAATAGAATAAGTCTTTATTTTAATAACTTTGATTTGAATTTCCTTATAACTTCCTTTTCTTAAACCCTTAGATAAAAGAAGCCAATTTCTGGGGTGCTAACTTTGTGATGAGTGGTTCTGACTGCGGCCATATATTCATCTGGGATCGTCACACCGCTGAGCATTTAATGCTTCTGGAGGCTGACAATCACGTGGTGAATTGCCTGCAGCCACATCCATTTGACCCAAGTAAGAGGACCTTGCATAAGGCAAGGGCTAGAAATCAGTGTGGCTCACCAGCCCCAATGGTGGTCTAGTTAATATACAAATAATCCGAATTATCTGTAGGCAGCCACGGGAGTCACTTCTAGCTCTGCTTGGGTTTAAAACCAAAACACACTTATAACACACTTTGGGCAGAAAGTATGGTGAAGTAGGTTAAAGAGTGTTCTCCTAATATTTCTTCTAAGCTGTATTAGCTATAAGAGGTTGGGCTGATTGAACTTCTCACTACTTATCCAAATTGAATCTTCAAGGCTCACTGGCATGCTCTTGCCTTCCATTGGGAATTGGAATTAAAATTAAAATTATGACTTTTAAGAAACCTTCAAAATAATGTTCTCAGTTAACACATGTATCAGTACAGTTTCCACTGCAGCTCACTTTTGCTGTGATGTACACACAGGAAGTCCTCACTGAATGTCATAGATAGGATCTGCAACTTTAAGTGAAACTGTGTAACAAAACCGATTTTATCAAAAGCTAATTGTTATAAACAAGATTAAGTTCCTTCAGCATCTCATCAGTGGCACAGTGAAACGACGTTGAACAGAACGACTTTACTAGTATTCGAGGCCCTGCTGTACAGGCACATGTGCCTGCGCCTGTACCTACAAACACATACTGTAGACGTATATACACACACGTGTCTGTGTGCATAGCTTGAATAAATGCATGTGTTCTGAGTTTAGGTTAACATGTACTTTTTGTTTCTAGTTCTAGCCTCGTCTGGCATAGATTATGACATCAAGATCTGGTCACCACTGGAGGAGTCAAGGATTTTTAACCGAAAACTTGCTGATGAAGTAAGATGTTTATTATACTTATTAGACCATAGTTTCCCTTGTTCCTCAAATGATTTCTTAAGAAATATCAAAGCAGCTCCTCCTTAGTTGGTAACATAAAACAATTTCATGCAGGTAAGGAAGTCAGTTTTAAGAAAAAGAAAAATGAAGATAAAACCATGCCTAGAGGTAAAAAATGAACTAGTATTTTGCTAATTAGAAGACTGAGTATTAGTAATAGCAGATTAAGTGTTTTGTAGTTTAAAAAAATAGGTTAACTATGTGCTTACTGCAGTAAAGAATCATTAAAAACACTCTGTCCTTTTGAGAAAATCGTTTCACTGCAGCGTTTTCATCATCATGGCCAAGAGGTAGCAGCACAAATGATGAGAATCTTTTCCTTTATTTTATTTTAAGGTCTCCTCAGCTTCTTGTTAAATCAGTAATTTTCCAACCGAGTTCAGTGAAGGGCTAGGTCTTTTATGAAATTAGGATAAGAAAGCTGATTTCTATGGCTCCTCCCCTCCCCCCAGCTTCAACCAGGGTTTTCATTTGTTGATTTCTATAGATTTCTTATAATAATTAGGGCCCATTGCATTAATCAGCTACTAATTGCTGAACTCCTATGGGTAGATGAGGGCACAAATAGGTAAATAGGGGTCTGTCACTTAAACATGTTGGTCAGTGGTCAAGCAGCACCTCAGAGCGAGGTTGACAGCTCAGCACAGCTCCCATGGGTGCTTTCACTCATTTAATAGACATTTACACAACACTGTGTGTCAGCCCTGCGCTCCGAGCGCATGGACAAGAGGGAAGACAGATAGCCACAGTGTAGTGGAGTCAGTGTCTGAGGGGTATGCACAGCGTTTGGAAGCCTGTAGAAAAGAAAAACTGCTGTGAATGGAGTCGATGGGGGTGGGGACATCTTCACGGAGGCTATAGAAGTCACCAGGACTGCGTTCACCAGGCAGACAGGAGCAAAGGAGCGCTGGAGACACGGAGCCAGCAGGGTCCAGGTTGTTAGAAGGTAAAGGAAACATCCGTGTGCAGAACCTACAGTGCGAGGGAAAGTTGCTCAGACTGAAAAGCTCATTTGGGACCATAAAGAGTTGTCATTTCACTGGGGACTGTTGGCCAGATGGCATCTTTCTCCTCCTCAGGCTTCCCTTTCTTCCTTCCCACACTCTCTGTTTTTCCTCTTCCTTCTTTCCTTTGCCCATAATATACATTGGGTCCCTCGGAGCCATGGATATTCAGTTAGTCCTTTCCTTGGTACTTCCGATACAAGTCATTGGTAGCTCTTGTCCAAGAGCTTTGCCTCAAGGAAGGTAACAACTCTCAAAGGATCCACGTGACCCAAGGACATTAATTTAACACTAGTTTGTCCCAAAGGTACCAGTTCTCCTCTCGGCGAAAATAAGGAGCAGGCACAGCGTAGACTGCTCTGGGGAACAAGTAAAGATAAATTGAATTCTTGGATGTTTTAGCAGCTAGAGTTGACCTTTGCCTTCCTGCCAACTGCATGAGGCGTGTTCCCTCATCTTACTCCCCACATGCAAGTCAAAGTAACTATTTGGCCTTGAGAAGCCTTAACGGGGAAACGTGACAGCATGCACATGGGGAACGAAGGCCGCTCTTTTTCGTGCCGTTCTCCTAATCTTCAGGGGGGTGCGGGCACTCTGCAGTCTCTGACGGCGGTTTCACTTGCTCCAGGTGATCACTCGGAATGAGCTCATGCTGGAGGAGACGAGGAACACCATCACAGTGCCCGCCTCCTTCATGCTCCGCATGCTGGCCTCCCTGAACCACATCCGGGCCGGTAAGAACTGTCAGCCTCTCTTCCAATTAGGATTATGTCTGAACAACATGGTATTACTTAGCATTTATATATATAACTTCCTTATGTCATGAAATGGAGGCAGCCCATTAGCACAGAAACTCATGTCCTCATGAACCTGATTATTGGAAAGCATCACAATGAAAGACAGTCCCCTGAAAACATACCCACTCTGCTTCTCCTCTGAGTGGAGGCTCCTGCACAGGCCTTGTCATCATAAATGCCTTCAGCGGTCCATTCGCTCCCAGTCGGCAGAGCCCAGACAAAAGGAAGGTAGCATGGTAGGAAGGCTGAACAGGCACCTCTCTGTTTTCTTCATCATTGTCTTGTCTTAAGTGATAAACTGAGGCTCAGTGTCACAGATAACACAAAATGCATATATTATAACTACTATTCAGGAAGGAATTCAAAGGCTGTGTTCATAACAAGAAAAAGTTCTAGTATCCATTATAGACAAGATTATATTCACCAAACAAGTGTTCGTCACTGTTCACTGACCTCATGAGTGAAATATCCCATATGCTGAGCATCACCTGTCAGTTCATGACAACAATGACCACCCTCATGGAGCTCCAGCCCTTCTCAGCAGGCTTTCTGTAATGACTTACCCAGGCCACACCACTGATACACGGTAAAGCCATCTGTAGGGTTTTAAAAAATGTGTGTTTACAATGACATCCATTTTCAAAGTTAATAGTGTTGTTTCCTTTATTTTATAAAATTTCCCAGTAGAGGCAAAAATTAGGTATGAACACAGTGGTGAACTGAATTTTACATAATGGTGTGTTGAGTTCTATACATTTTAAGCAGCTTTAAATAAAAGGCATTGAAGATGATCTTAATCATAACCCTAAACGTATTTCTTTTAGTGAGTCTCATATCTGTTTTCCAGACCGGTTGGAGGGTGACCGATCAGAAGGCTCCGGTCAGGAGAATGAAAACGAGGATGAGGAATAATCAACTCTGAGTGGCCAGCACTTGGGAGGTTTTGATATTTGTACAAGACACTTATATTTTTTTCTTTACAGAGCTTCAGTGCAATTTTAAGGTTGTGGTTTTTGGAGTTTTCCCTTTTGCGGGGGATAACCTGACATTGGTGTGGAGTGATTGTGTGCATGAACTGGGGAGAGTGTGTGAAATAAAACTAGCAGAATGTTTTAAACCCTAGTTGCCATGTATGAGGAGTGCTAGCAACGAAAGTGCAATACTGCCACTCTCCACCCGGGGGAGCTTGGATCAACGTTGAAGAGCAGTTCTCATGGTAGAGACAATGTTGGTTCAAATAAATTTCTACACTTGCCATTTGCATGTTTGTTGCTTTCTAATTAAAGAAGCTGGTTGTTGTAAGATCTCCTGAATTTGACATTGTATTTGATGCCTTGTTACCCTGGCCCCTATTTTCCAGTCTTTCCTGTCACATAAGACTGTTTCTCTAGTCTTCTCTAGTTGTAATCATCTTTTCTGTGTTGACTTGTGTGTGATAGAATCACAGAGAAGAGAATTATTCATGTCTCATTCCAAAGTACTTCATCTTCACCACCAGTCATCATCTTAATGGTCATTGAGACCGTGTTACCCACAGACAGGAGTCAGGGCCAGCAGAGACCAGGGCGTCCGGGGTTCCCGTGCTGTAGGAGCACAGGCTAGCTCTGGGGGCCCTGGCTTCCGGTCCTCCTGACTGCAACCCGATTTCAGCTGAAAGCTGTGACCATCCTGTCTTCTACATCCTGGCCTTCCTTAACTCCAGTGTCCACCTCCACTCCAGCCATCAACACCCCGGCCTGTATCTTATAGGTTATGACCTGAATCTGTTCCTGTAGACTTAACCCTTCCGTCACCCTCCCTGCCCACTTTTAAATTGTCATCCTTTTCTTCGGCTGGCCCATGAGGCTCATAGGTGTAGCCAAGCAGAGCATCCCTCTCCAGTGTGGAGACCGGGGTCGCTCCTCCCCAGGTGGCTGCACACCGGGCGTCCTGCTGCTGATGGCAGGTTGGCTTTGTGGAGAGAAGAAAAGCCCCTTCAGTTGGCTCAGTAACTGGAGCTGGACTTCCACACCTGGACCTTGCCCTGGATGCATACACATCTCCACGTTAGAGATCGAGGTAAGTGGGTGAAGGGAAGGAATTAGAGTTTTAGCCAAACAGAGAGCTGACTTGGCTACAGATGACTTCTGGAAAGTGCCAGGGTCTTAGTTTCTGGTTCCCAATTAGCTATGTGACCTGGGGCCACCTAACTTGTCTGGGCTTCTGCTCCATCTCCCATGAAGTGGAGGTGATCAGATTTGCATACCTATGTCCCAGGGGCTGAGTTAGGGCCCCATGACACCCGGAGGATGAGGGGCTTTACAGAGCAACTGAAAACGCTACTGTCAGCACATCCAGGACATCATTTCTCACTGAAATGAAGCAGAAGCAGGGATTCTTAGAGGGTGTTGGAAAGCTGGCAGGACAGAGGCTACTGGAGGACTCCATCGGGTCAGGAGTAACTGGCAGGAAAAGCAACCGAAAATCAAAATGGTCTGTGTACCCTGTGGGCAGGATGGGACGGGGCGGGGGTGGGGGGGGGGCAGAAGTATATGGGGCCTGACCTTTCTGCTCAGTTTTGCTCAGAACCCAAAACTGCTGTAAAGCTGTCATTTTTTAAGTGGTTTTTTATTGATTTTTAGAGAGAGAGGAAGGGCGAGGGATAGAGAAACATCAATGAGAGGAACATCATTGATTGGCTGCCTCCTGCACGCCTCCTACTGGGGATTGAGCTCACAACCTTGAGCATGTGCCCTGAGTGGGAATCGAACCATGACCTCCTGGTTCATAGGTTGATGCTCAACCACTGAGCCACAGTGGCTGGGCTATTATTTTTTAATGGTATTTGTCAAAGGAATTAGTTCTCCTACTTTAGGTGATATTGTAGAGTTTGGTGTGTTACATAGGCACAGGGCGGACCAGACCACAGTCCAGGGGCAAGAGTTAATAGGTCCCGGCCATGGCGCAACGCATGTTGGGGGCAGGACGCTAGGCAGCTGGACCCGGAGCTCACCCACACACTCAGCAAAAGGAACTGCCTTCAGTTGTGGCCAGTGAGGGCTCAGGTGGAGGTGCTGGGTTTTATGCCCTGAGGTGGTTTTGAGTCACTGATGATCACCACACCCCCTTGACCTTGGTTATGGGATGAACATGTGGAGAGCCCCTATAAAGTCTGGGTTAGGAGTATTTGTTCTGTATTGGACAATATTCCATGAATCTCACTGTCTTGGGGGTATTTTGAAAACGCATGGACGGATGTACCCAGGTGACTGTGGTATGGATCACACACACCCGCCCCCCCCCAATTCTGCAATAGTTGGTCCTTCCTGCTCAGTCTCCTTCCTCTTTTTAGCCCTTGGGAAGGGGGAAGGGAGAAAGGAAAGGGGCTGTGGGAAACAGGGATATGGGGTAAAGGGGGAACACCCAAAACCCACAGTCCACAAGTCCAAGTACAAATTCACAATTTCCACATCTGTACACGTGCCAAAAACATTTCATCAGGTGAACACAGCTATGCTAAATGCACTTTTGTTTATAAATATTGATTTATAATAACTCTAAACATTGTCTTGTTTTAAAAAAACAAAACAATAATTCCAAGTGAAATGTATTTCCAGACTAGCTTGTCATTGTTTTGTTTGAAGGTTGGTTTTTAACCACGTTTGCATCCAGGGTTCCATCGCCAGAACACAGCCCAGGACTCCCCTCCGAAGGTCCACAGCTGGACCCCTGCGCCCGCGCCAACGGCTCCTCCCACTGCCCTGGGGTGGCCCCGCCTGCCCAGGCCCCAGGAGGGTCCTTGCCCCGGGAGGGGCCGACTTGCCTGTGATTGGTGACATTGCAAAATGGTGGTGTCAAAAGGAACAGCAAGTGGCCTGGAATTCCTAAGCTGTTACTACTGCTCAGGAGCATGCTTCCTGGGGAAATGAACAGCTCCGTGTGTTAGACCCTAAAATAACGTGGAGCAAAATGGTGCCCTGCTGGTCTGCAGGGAGTCTGTGCTACGAGTCCTTCCGGGAATTCAACCATGTCCCCGCGTCTCGTTTCTGCAGGCCGGGCAAGCAGGTGTTCAGCCTCCGGGCACTCACTCCGTTACCAGCTCTTTCTCCACAAGGAAGCCGCCGGCCTGCCTCCTGGTAATGACTTCACTGTTGCTCGTCCTCGAGCTGCACAGCTGACTCCTTCCTCAGTCACGTGGCCAAGACCCGGCACTGGGCCCTGACGCTGGTGTCATGCACCTCAAGACTATGGACACTTCTTCACTTCCTAGGTCCCCCTGGATTCTGTCTGTCCCCAACCCAGGAGTGTCCACTCTGCCTCCTCTTGTCCATATACGACTCAGCCATTTTCCTTTGCTTCAGGTGAAAACGGTGATTTTCCGCCAGCCCCCCAGGGTTCACCTTGGGGTTCTGCACGCACTGGGGTAGCAGCATGGACTCCTGTCCCTGCACTGACTTCCTCAGGGTGGAGGATCGGAGAATCTGAACCCAAGAGCCACCGCCACGCAGTCACTGTCCTGCAGGACGGAGCTGGCCGCAGGGCCCAGGCCGAGTCTCCTCCGGGGCGTCTCTTCTGGGCCAGGAGGTCGAGCTGGTGCCGTGACACGGGGTCTACACCAGGCCCCAGGCCATCACCTTGGACAGACACTGTGCTCCTCAGACCTCTGCAGCTCCCAATGCCCCACACCTTCCCCTCCTCTCGCGCTCCCCTTCCTCACCACATCCCTTCCATCCCAGGTCTTGTGCTGCTCAGCAAACAGGACCATTCCCACTGCAGAAGCCTCAACACCTCTGACCTAGGATAACAGCTCCTGAGGGGTCCCTATGAGACAAGAATAGGACACCCGCCTAGTCATGGACAAGACCCTAGTGGCTCAGCACCACTGTGTCCCACGTGTGGTGCGGGAGCTTTAATCCACGTAACCTCCCGTGGGGGGGCCTGCATTCTATGTCCCCACAAGAAACAGGTTATGAAACCTCACAGATGAGAAAACCGATGCAGAAAAATGAACTGGCCCAACAACACCCAACTACTCAGCAGCCGCGTGGGTCTGAACCCAGAACTCAGCCCAGCCAAGTCCGCACTGTTCCCGTGTCGCTCACGTGCACGCACACGGACATGGAACGAGAGCCCTCAAGGGCCTAACAGAAGCCGCACAACAGGCACAGAATTCTCCACCGTCAGGCACACAGTAGGTGCTCAGCACCTGCCAGTTCTGGGCTTGCCCTCATAGCCACGCACCCTCAGTTCCTCCCAGACAGAGCAGTGGGGCCAGAGCTAGACACCAGAGAGTATCCTGGGCTCCGTCCAGACACACGCCTCATGCGCAGGTGTCTCAGCGAGTCCGGTGGAACGTATTCCTGCAGCAAACCCTAACAGGCTAAGATCTCTTGCTGCATGGAACACGCTTCTTCCCTCCTGCCACCCCCTCCGCCCCCGCTCCCTGGCCGACTGCAAATACTGATTAGTCTCACTGGTCACTCAGGTGGACAGAAGCCACAGCAGCTCCTGGGATGAGAAAACGCGTTAGCACCAGGTGGCCCTGGTCTTGGTCCTCAGCCCTGCCTCTTGGCAGTTGCTTAAGATCTCATAGCTGAGCAGGGGCAGAACCTGCCGCCCCAAAAGGGGTCACACGTGTGAGCAAGCTGGGTGGTCCTTCCAAGGTTGAGGACCAAGGTGGAGACAAGTTCAAAGCCAGAGCTCTGCTGAGGCAAGCCTTCAAGTGTTTCCTTAGTGCTCCCCACTGCTGCCACCTGGTGGCTAAGGTGCTGAACTCCAGTCTTCCCAGGCCAGGAAGCCCAGTGCTGGGGGGTGGGGATCCCAGTGCCTCTGGGTCATAACAGCCCCAAGCCTGGCATCTGGGCAGGCACAGGACAGGGACCATCAAGTGGCGATCTCAACGAAAGGCGCAGAGATGGCAACAGCCCTAAACTCGGTCCTGTCACAACCAGAGATGCAGGACAGAGGTTGTGGACAAGTGGCCAACAGTCCCACCTGCCACTGTCCATGTAGCCACTGCACAGAGGTATAAAGTGATGGGCCTGGGTTCCAACCTGCATTCATGGCAGGGTCCTCAGAAACGCCTCTCGGAAGCTTCAGAGCGCATGGGCCTTCCCACCCCTCCCCACCCACCGGCTCCCTGCTCCCTCCTCCCGTCCTCCCAGGCTTCATGGCAACTGAATTCTCGATTATGCAATATGCAAAATATGGTTCTAGCTGCCAGATACCCTCCAAGGCTTGGCTCACACTGCCACCTCCACGGAGCATAGTCACCTCCCCCCGGAGCTCACAGTTCTCTCCACAATAATTACTCGGCTTTGCTGTTTACCAGCATCCGTATCCCCCAGGTCCGTCCCTAAGTGAGTGTGTAAACACGTTCATGCCATTGCTCACGGGCCGAGCTTGGTGCTCTGCACAGGTGACGTGCGGGGCCTGGAGATGAATAAATGAATGGTCCTCAGTAGAAAAGAAGGAAACAGTGAGTCCTTCTGTGACCTGTGGCATTTCCAGATAAGTTTAGATTTAATCCTAGTAAATCCCAGCTAGTCTGCGACCAGCCAGTGCGGACCTGGGGTCTCAGGACTCTCCCTCGAGCCCGCCCAGTGCAGCCCAGGGACACGCACTCCAACCCCCGGGTTCCCAGCCAAATGTGCTGCATCAGAAAGGCCTCACCAGTGAGCCTTAGGTCACCCCAACGAAGCAGTGAAGGTGGTCGCCCTGCTCCACCTCTGTGCAGGCCAGTGGTCAGGAATATGGTCCCTTTACAACCGACAAGTGCTAGGAAGATTAGAGAAAGGAGATAAAGCGCTCTGAGGAATGCCACGGAGTGAGAGCAGCCTGACTTGCCCGTCTCCTTAGCAGAACCCGCAGGTGAAGATGCCTCCGCTCCTTCCCTCCCACCCAGAACCGACAGCTGGCCTTAAGCTAATCACCACGAAGGTGCACGCTCCCAGGTCTCGGCAAAGGTCTTTGCAAACTGCAGACTGAGGACCAGCTCCAAGGGTTGGGGCGAGGTGTAACCACGTGAACCCACTGCCCCCCTGGGAGGCGTCTCTCCTCCACGCTGGCCCCTTGCAGGCCGCATTCTGAGCAGACAAGCCGGGGAGCCCGCACGCCTGGGCCTCAGTCTCTGTCCGCAGTCACGCAGAAGCTGTGCCAACATGGGCCCGTGGGTCCCTTTTCTTTTCCTATCTCTAACTTACAGAGAACATCAGAGATCGCAGCTGGAAACGATCTTGGAGACCATTCACTCTGACGACCCACTCCCTCATCCCATCTCCCCGGCTGCACAGAGAGGTGCTAGGAAGTGCAGGTGACGTGAGGAAGAAGAGGTGGAGCTGGGCGGGCGTGCAGGTGCTGGCTCCGGCCGGCCGTCCAGGCGTGTCCTAGCCAAACAGTATAATTCTTGGAAATGAAGCATCCGCCTTCCGCTCCTTCCTCCTGTCTGTTATAGTGGTTTCTCTCTCCCTTCTTTCGAAATAGCAAAGAATCAGTGAAGAGGGAGGTGGCCTGGGGCTGCCCCTGTGAGCACTAGAGGTGGCTCCACCGATGCCAGGTCATACCCAGCACTGAGGCCTGGGAACTGCGTGGGGGCCCTGCTCCTGGGTTCTCTAGGGACCCCACATGGCCTGCTTCAACCCTGAAGAAGCCTGGGGTGCCCTCCGCCCCAGTGCGCTGGAAGAGCCCCCCTCCTGAGCCTCTCTGGGGGGACAGTGAGTAGCAGATGTGAACAAAAGAACATGACCTGCCCTGGGGTTCCCCCAGCTGGTCTTGGGCCCCACCGGTGCCCCACCTCCCAGAAAGCCAATCCACACCTCCATTTGCTCTGCTTTGTGCTTTTGATGCCTCTGGTCCCATCACTGGGATCTAGGAGCCCGCGGGTGGGCTCGCAGACACGGAGTTCCTGGCCTGGACACAGTTCTCGGTGTTTTTTCTGGTGGCTGCACCCCAGATGCCGTTCCTACCCGAGTTCCCAGGGCCCCGGCTCGGTGGGCTGTGGGCCAGCCCGAGGCCCTCATTTCTGTTCCGCAGCTGGAACGTTCCCCTCCTCGATTTTTTGCAGTTGGAGTCTCTGGCTCCCGAGGGCTCGGCTGCCTCCGCTGCCCCCAAAGCCGGCCCCTGGGATGGTCCGGGCCACCATCAAGACCCCAGGCAATGCCTCCTCCCCAAACAGGTTGATTTTGGCTTCCGCCTCGATGGCTTTGGCCAGGCTGTCTGCATAACTGTCCAAAGAGGTGTGCACGTCGGCCTTCACGTGGAGGATGGGGTTCTTGGCAGCTTCTGAGGGAAAGACAGAGCAAGGTTAGCGAGGGGCCAGACCCCTGTGGAGGGCGCACGTTTCCCAGTCTGGTTGCTTCCTAGGGCCTGGGAAAACGTAGAAGGAGTTAGCTAACCTCAGGTCCTCTGCAGAGAGAGGGTCATGGTGCACCTCTTGCTCCATAGGGTTTCTGTGATAAACCATTCTTGCCAAGATGCTTAGCCTAGGCCCGGCTCACAGAAAAGGCTTGATCAATATTTTCTATTAACCACATTCACATTTTACATCTTTGGAAGAGGTCTTTGGCCGTTCGGCTCCCTGGAGTGTGTGATGTGGGTGGTTCTAAACTTCCACGGGCTGAGTGCTGAGCCAGTTGGGACGTCTCATCTCTGAACTGGCCCAGATTCCCCAGTCAGGACAGCCTCAGGGTCGACAGGATACCTTGGTCCAGGAGCCCCACCCAGGACAGGACCTGACAACTAACAGAAGAGGGAGGGGTGTGGGTCTGCTTCCCCCCTCCCCCCCCAGAGCCTTCTTACTGTGAACCTCACTGCCTACTGTCCTGACACGTCTCGGGAACAGTGCACCCCCTACTCCTCACATGTGCTGAGCAGGTGACTTCCACCCACTCTGGGGGGGCGGGGGGGAGTGGAGGGACCCTGGGCTCTGCCTCCTTGCACTCATCTGGGAGGACGGAGTCGGTCTGAGCACCTGTGTGTCTACGGAGAGTGCGACAGCTCCTGTTGGCCCAGCTTAGAAGCTTCCAGATCCAATGGCTGGGAAGCCAAGGACTCGAGGGAGACTGCAGGGTTGGGAGTGGCATGGGGTGGGGGTGGGGGTTGGAGGGGGCAAAGGTGGGAGGCCTGGTGTTCTGGATGGGGACGGGGATGAGCCAGGAGTTCTCCTAAGACCACTCCCTTTCCCTGTGTTGTCCGGAAGCTGTCAGCCACAGACACCAACCTTTGATCTTTTCTACTTCATCCTCGAACGTCACCGAGCTCCTCCTCTTGGGTGGGAAAGCGGAGTGGAGGGGAGGCTGGTCATCAGACGGGTAGTCTTCAAGCAGCATCACGTCCGTCCCTAAGACCAAGGGCAGGTTGCGCACATGGAACGGCCGTCCCAAGTCCTCCTCGCCCGCTCTCAACCCCCTTGCATCCCTCTCCCCCATCTATTCCAACCCACAATCCAGTGCAAGAGCTGCTCTGCAGCATGTGCCCAAGAAGTGAACACTGTGCCATCCTATTTCAGGGACTGGGCAGCCAGCCATGGGGCCTCTGCCGACACGTAAGTTACAGCAGTGCTGTGCAGGGCTGGGTGTTCGGGCCACAGCGGGCTCACGCACTGTCCAGTGGGCCGGACCGGGGCTGGCCAGGGGAGGAGGGCTGCGTGGGAGAGACTGCCCCAGTAAAAGAGCCTGTGTTCTGAGTGATTCCTCTTACAGTTTGAATTTCTATCAATAATTACTTTAAATGTAAATGGATTACACCATCTACAAGAATAAACTCAAAACGGATTAACAGCTTAAATGTAAGGCCTGAAACCATAAAACCAGAAGAAAAATAGGCTGTAAACACTTTGTGGTTAAAATACATTGCACTAAGTAAACATTTAAAAAATTGTTGTATTTTTCAATTACAGTTTACATTCAACGTTACATTAGTTTTAAGTGTATGGCACAGTTGGCACACATTTACATAACTTACAATAAGTCTTGCACCTACCTGTCCCCACACACAGTTACTGCAATATTACTGACTACTAGAGGCCCGGTGCACGACATTCGAGCACTGGGGAGTGGTGGGGGGGGCGGTTTCTCAGCCCGGCCTGCGCCCTCTCGCAGTCTGGGACCGCTCCAGGGATGTCTAACTGCCGGCTTAGGCCTGCTCCCCCCCGCCCCCACCCCAAGGCGGAAGAGGCTCTCGCCACCACTGCTGCACTCGCCATCTGTGAGCCTGGCTTCTGGCTGAGTGGCACTCCCCCTGTAGGAGCACACTGACCACCAGGGGTCAGCTTCTGCATTGAGCGTCTGCCCACTGGTAGTCAGTGCACATCATAGGACCAGTTGTTCTGCCATTCAGTTGATTTGCATATTAGGCTTTTATTGTATAGGATGTCCTCTTGCTGCACACCATAGCCCTGACTAGTGCTATGACTGCCAATTTGTACTTCTTAACCTCCTCACCTTTTCACCCAGTCCAACCCCCCTCCCATCTAGAAACCACCAGTTTGTCCTCTGTCCCTATGAGTTTGTTTTTGCTTTGGTTGGTTGTTCTTTTAGATTCCATATAGGTGAAATCATATGGTATTTGTTTTTCTCTGTCTGACTGATTTCACTTAGCACAGTTCCCTCCAGGACCATCCATGTCGTCACAAAGGATAAGATTTCATTCTCTTCTTTAGCTGAGTAATATTCCATTGTATATATGTACCACATCTTTATCCAATCGTCTATCAATGGATACTTAGGCTGCGCCCATATCTTGGCAATTGTAAATAATGCTGCAATGAAAATGGGGGTGCATATATATTTTCAAGTTAATGTTTTTGGTTGTTTTTTATATATATATACTCAGAAGTGGAATTGCTGGTTCATATGGTAGTTCTACTTTTAATTTTTGAGAAACCTCCATACTGTTTTCCATAGTGGCTGCAACAATGTATAATCCCAGCAAAAGTGCACGAGGGTTCCCTTTTCTCCACATCCTCCCCAACACTTGTTTGTTGATTTATTGATGCTACCCATTCTGGCAGGTGTGAGGTGACACCTCATTAGGGTTTTAATTGGCATTTCTCTGATGATTAGTAATGTTGAGCGTCTTCCCGTAAGTCTGTTCGTCATCTGTATGTCCTCTTTGGAGAAATGTCTATTCAGGTTCTCTGCCCAGTTTTTAATTGGATTTTTTTTTGTAGTTGTTGTTTTTTGGTAAGTTATATGAGTTCCTTATATATTTTACTTATTAACCTCTTATCAGATGTATCATTGCTGAATATTTTCCCCATTAGCTAGGCTGTGGAAAACCTTTTTAATTTTATGTAGTCTCATTTGTTTATTTATTTATTTTGTTTCCCTTGCTAGAGGACACATATTCAAAAAGATATTACTATGAGCAATGTTAAAGTTTTTACTGCCTATTTTTCTTCTAGCTTTATGGTTTCAGGCCTTACATTTAAGCCTTTAATCCATTTGAGTTTACTCTTGTAGATTGTGTGATACATTTACATTTACAGTAATTATTGATAGGTAATGTAGTTATTGCCATTTTATTATTCATATTTTTATTATTCATGTTTTTATCTTTTTTCTTGTTTTGCTCTTGTTTTGCTCTTAACATTTCTTATAATATTAGTTTGATGGTGATGGACTCCTTTAGCTTTTCTTGTCTGTGAAGCTCTTTATCTGACCTTCAATTCTAAATGATAGCTTTGCTGGGTAGAGTAATCTTGGTTGTAGGTCCTCCCTTTTCATCACTTTGAAAATTTCTCATGCCACTCCCTCTGGCCTGTAGTGTTTCTGTTGAGAAATCAGCTGACAATCTTATGGGAGCTCCCTTGTAGGTAACTAACTGCTTTTCTCCTGCTGCTTTTAAGGTTCTTTGTTTTTAACCTTTGCCATTTTAATTATGATGTGTCTTGGTGAGGGCCTCTTTGGATTCATCTTGTTTGGGACTCTTGGCACTTCATGGACTTGTATGTCAATTTCCTTCACCAGGTTAAGGAGTTTTCAGTCATTATTTCATCAAATAGATTTTCAATTCCTTGATCTCTCTCTCTCTCTCTTCTTCTAGTACCCTTATGATGCAAATGTTGTCACACTTGATGTTGTCCCAGAGGTACCTTAAATTTTCCTCTTTTTAAAAAGTTGTTTCTGCCTGGCCAGTGTGGATCAGTGGTTGTGGGTCAACCTATGAACCAGGAGGTCACAGTTCAATTCCTGGTCAGAGCACATGCCTGGTGTTATGAGCTCGACCCCCAGTAGGGGGCAGAAGGGAGGCAGCTGATCAATGATTCTCATCATTGATGTTTCTATCTCTCTCTCCCTCGCCCTTCCTCTCTAAAATCAATTAAAAAAAGTATTTAAAAATAAATAAATTAATTAGTTAAAAATAAATTCTTTCTTTCTGCTATTCTAAGTAGGTCTTTTCTGCTACTTTGTTGTCCAAATCACTGATTCAATCCTTTGCTTCCTCTAATCTGGTGTTATTCCCTCTAATATATTCTTCATTTCAGCTATTATAGTCTTCATTTTTGACTGGTTCTTTTTTAAAATATTTATTGTTGAAAGTATTGCAGATGTCCCCTTTTTTCCTCCATTGACCTCTCCACCCCGGTCCCTCCTCCTCTGCAGACCTTCACTGCCCTCGTGTCTGTGTCCAGGGGTCATGCATATATGCATTTAAGTTCTTTAGTTAATCTCTTCCACCCTTCCCTCTGAAATATATCAGTTTGTTACATGCTTCCATATCTCTGGTTCTATTTTGTTCATCAGTTTATTTTGTTCACTTGATTACATGTAAGTGAGATCATGTGATACTTGTCTCTCTCTGGCTGGCTTATTTTACTTAGCATAATACTTTCTGGGTCATTCCATGCTGTCTCAAAGGGTAATAGATCCTTCTTTTTTATAGTTGCATAGTATTCCATTGTGTATATGTACCACAGCTTTTTTATCCACTCATCTACTGATGGGCACTTGGGCTGTTTCCAGATCTCAGCTATTGTAAATAATGCTGCTATGAACACAGGGGTTCATACATTCTTTCTGATTAGTGTTTCAGACTTCTTATGATATATTCTTAGAAGTGGGATCACTGGGTCAAATGGCAGTTCCATTTTTTAATTTTTTGAGGAAACTCCACACTGTTTAGCATAGTGGTTGTACCAGTCTGCATTCCCACCAGCAGTGCACTAGGGTTCCCTTTTCTCCACACGCTCCCCAGCACTTGTTAGTTTGTTGTTGATAGTCATTCTGGTAGGTGGGAGGTGATGTCTCATTGTGGTTTTAATTTACATTTCTCTCATGATTACTGACGTTGAGCATTTTTTCATATGTCTCTTGGCCATTTGTATGTCCTCTTTGGAAAATTGTCTATTCAAGTCTTCTGCCCATTTTTTAAATTGGATTGTTTGTGTTCCCTTTGTTGAGTTGTATGATACTTTATATATTTTGGAAATTAACCCCTTATCAGATATATCATTGGCAAAATACGGTCTCCTGTACAGTGGGTTCCCTTTCATTTTGATGCTGGTTTCCTTTGCTGTACAGAAGCTTTTTAGTTTGGTATAGTCCCATTTTTTTTTCCTTTGTTTCTCTTACCCTAGGCGATGTATCTGTGAAAATTCTACGTGAGATGTCTGATATTTTGCTGCCTACATTTTCTTCTAGAATTTTTATGATTTCACAACTTACATTTAAGTCAAGTCCATTACCCATTTTGACTTTATCCTTGTGTACGGTGTAAGTTGGTGGTCTAGTTCCTTTCTTTCTTTCTTTCTTTCTTTCTTTCTTTCTTTCTTTCTTTCTTTCTTTCTTTCTTTCTTTCTTCCTTCCTTCCTTCCTTCCTTCCTTCCTTCCTTCCTTCCTTCCTTCCTTCCTTCCTTCCTTCCTTCCTTTCTTTCTTTCTGTACCTGTTCAATTTTCCCAACACCATTTATTAAAGATACTGTATTTACTCCATTGTATGCTCTTGTCTTCATTGTCAAATATTAATAGAGCATATGGCTTGGGTCAATTTCTGGGCTCCCTGTTCTGTTCCATTGATCTATATGCCTGTTCTTGTGCCAGTACCAGGCTGTTTTGATTATGGTGGCTTTGTAATATGACTTGATATCCGGTATTGTGATCCCTCCACCTTTGTTGTTTTCTCCAGATTGCTGCAGCTATTCAGGGTCTTTTTTTATCCATATAAATGTTTGGAGTGTTTGTTCTAGATTTGTATTGAATCTACAGATTGCTTTGGGTAGTATGGCTATTTTATTGATGTTAATTCTATCAATCCATGAACACGGTATATTATTCCACATGTTTATATCTTTTTCTATCTCTTTTTTCAATATACTGTAGTTTTCTGAGTAAGGATCTTTTACCTCCTTGGTTAAGTTTATTCCTAAGTATCTTAATTATTTTGTTGTTGCAATGGTAAAAGGGATTGGTTTTTTTAGTTTCTCTTTCCGAGAGATTATTGGTGTTTAAAAATGCCACCGATTTCTGGCTGACTTTTTTATGTTTTTCTACATCTTTGTTAGAGTTCCCACTGAGTTCATCTAATCTTCCCCTGAATTACTGAGCATCCTTTTAACCAGTGTTTTGAACTCTGTACCTGGGAGACTTTTTGCCTCCATTTCATTTCATTCCTTTCCTGGAGTTTTGCCCTGTTCTTTGGGACCTGTTTCTTTGTCTCCCCATTTTGGCTGCCTCCCTGTGTTTGTTTCTATATATTAGCTAAGGCTGCTATATCTCCCAGTGTTTGCAGGATAACCTTACATAGTAGGTGTCCTGAGAGGCCCAATGGTGCAACCTCATTGGTCACCTGAGCCAGGTGCTCCAGGGGTGTCCCTTGAGTAGGCTGTTGACATGTTAGTGGGTGGGACTGGCCTCGGGCTGACTACATGACTACAGCGGATGAGCTATTGTGCAGGGCTGACCCCATGGGGTTGGATTCACTTTAGTGGGACTCTGGTCCCAGCTGAGTTCACCCTTTGGGTGTGTCATTTGTGGAAGTGGTTGGGTGGTGCTCTGGTGTGGTCCAAAGCTGACCACAGGGTGTGTTGATTCCGAAGCCCCTTGGGAGGACTCCAGTGCAGGCCAAGGTTGGCCCTGTCTGTGCCTGGCCTGGGGCCACCTGGGAGGAGCTACAAAGTGAGCTGCAGTTGGTAGCCACCTGAGAGAGGCTATGCTGCAAACAGGCTGGCTGCCACTCTTGCTGGGCTTGGGGCCGCTTAGCCAGAGGTACGGGCATGCAGTGGCCAGATGCTGCTTTTTGGGAGTTTGTGGACCTTTGAGAGATTTTAGGAAAGTCTGCAGCATGGGCAGAACCCGGCTGCTTGTGAGGAACAGTCACTGGAAGAGGTTTGGGTGGTGCGCACGGTGTGTGGGATGGGTCTCGGGGAGCCCCCTGGGGTGGTGAGGGGTGTGAGCCAGGTGGATGGAGACCCAGACTTGGCGCCTTTGCCTGTAGGCTGGGTGGGGTGAGGGCTCAACAAAGGAACAATGGCACCTGCTGGCACATTTGTCCCAGAGAGAGCTGCCCCTCCAGACCTCACCCAGAAACCAGACCATGTTGTTTCTCTGGTGTCCCCGGTGCTTTCTGAACTGCTTCCCTTTGCTGGAGCTCAGAGCAAGCGTTCGTGACCTCAGGTCCTTAAAGGGGACGCCTGCATCTACAGCAGGCTTCCATGTCACCCAGGTTGAGTCCCTGGTGATTTCACAGCCTGACACTGTGGGGACTCCTCTTCCTGGGACGGATGCTCTGAGCTAGGAGCCCAGCTTGGGGCTGAGGCCCCTCACGCCTCAGTGGGCACCTCTGCCACGGAGATACGCCTCCTGGTCCTCAACCACTGCGCGTGGGTGTGGGACCTGCCATTCCACGTCTCCGCCCCTCCTACCGGTCTCACTGTGGCTGCTTCTGTGTGTCCTTAGTTCCGGGAGTTCTGTTCGGCTCGTCTTCAGCTGGTTCTTCATGATGGTTGCTCTATACTTTAGTTGTAATTTTTTTTTATACTTTAGTTGTAATTTTCGTGTGGTTGTGGGAGGAGGTAGGAGTGTTTGCCTACTCTGCCATCTTGACCAGAAGTCTCTCACAATCTTTTGACAGCAGAGTGACTGAGGAATAGTCCCCACACCACAACTCACCCATTCGAAGTGCATGCCGTCCGTCTCCCCCCAGGCTGAAAGCTCCAGGAGGGTGGCTCACCACGGTTCTCTGGAGCCTAGTACAGTGTCTGGCCAAGGGAGGAGCTTGGCAAATATTTGTTGAATGAATAAATGTCAGGGTCACGGGACCTCTGCTGTCTGTCTGAGACCTTCCCTTCCCTCCAATCACACAAGGGACTCGAGGCTACAAGCGATGGTGTGGCCAGTGGCTCACCCTCTGGGTTGTCAGGTGAGGGAGCGTGCTCAGGGAAGATTCTGTGACGGAAGGCCTGTCTCGGTGCCCGCCGTGCCTGCCCCCAGCGCCCCACGACACAGGCTCAGAAGAAACCTCGGTCAAGGCAGAGATCTACAGCTGCTGGCAGCGGCGACGGCAGCACCATGCCCGGCGGCTGCTGCACCGCCCAGGACTCCACACGGCGCCCTTCAGGCCAGAGCCCTGGGCAGAAACGCCTGGGGCTTCTCCAGCCACGTGGAGCCCTGGACTGGTGGGGACACTGCCAGCCTCTGCCCCTGGCCCCCACCCCAGGGCCTGGCGAGAGCCCAAGAACACGCTCGGCAGGGACAGGTGTGGCACCTGCTTCCCTCCAGCAGCCAGGGGAGACCCTAACCGCACTGAGCCCTGGGCACGGCCCCGGGGAAGACGGGGAGGATCTGTGGTGGCGAGGTGTCTCTTCCGGGGACAGGGGCGCAGGGCATGTAACGGTAGTGACCCCTCGTCGGGGCTGCCCTCGATACAGCGATTGCCGTTCCTCATTCACAAATGGGGAAACCCAATGGTTAGCATGACTGACCTCAGGCCGCCTGACTCAGCAGCCTCCCAGCCTGCACGGGCCGGGGGTGAGGTCCCTGCTTTATAGAGAAGGAAACCGAGGCACGGAGGCTCTGCCGAGCTAAAAGCCCCGACGGGGAGCCCTGCCTCTGGCCCCCGCCCCCCCCATGCCCCTCCTCCTTCCACCCGGCACAGGAGATGCGCGTCCACCAGTGCCCACACCGCGTCGGGTACACGCGGGAGGCACCCGCCGCAGGCTTACCTGAGTCCTGGGAGAAGCTGAAGCCCGTGTCCCCCGTGCTGCTGCTGTGCCCCAGGGGCTGTCCGCCTGCCATGAGCGCCGTGAGGTGTGGGGACAGGCCCAGGTCTGAAAGGCAAAGTCGGCACTGACTGCACAAACCGCGTCCGCCCCACGGCCTTACCCCCATTTCAGTCCCCTCCGCCTCACCTCCTACTCTCCTGTCCCCTCTGTTCTCCTGCAAAGCACGCTCTCAAGCCATTGACAGACAGGAAGCCGTGGCGGCCGCCCTTCCCACTGTGCCCTGTGCCCGCCCAGGGAGTCTGCATTGTGACATAGTTGACTGGGTCCCCAGAGGGGACCTCCCGTGACAACTCAAACCAACAAGGCAGGTGGGAGAGGAGACGGGAGGTGAACTGTCCCCGGTGATTTTCCGGTTAAACATGGAACCTGGGTGTACATTACCTCCTGAGATCCCACCTGAATGCCAAACAGGACTTTCTAAAAAGGTTTGCACCCAGAGCAGGAGAGAATGCTTGTCAGCTGGGAGGAGGGAGGGAGAGGCAGTGGGTGTGACCCAGGAGAGAGCTGGTTGGCGGTGGGAGGACGCTGGTTCTCACCCTGCGCCCCCAAAGCCCAGGAAGTGGAGGCCCCGGGCGCCTCTACAGATGTCTCTACAGGAAGCAGTGGCCCAGTGTCAGCAGGAGAAGGGGGAACAGGAACCGAGCCTGGCCTTGGAGACCCCAGACAGAGCCCCGTGGACCCCGAGAGCTGGACACCGTGCATCGGCTCGGCCGGACCTGCAGCCCAGACGCCTCCCACCAGGGCCTCGTTATGAACCACAAAGGGAAGGCGCAGACCACAGGCCTGTGAGCAAAGCACTAGAAAGACAGAGATGGGGAGATACAAGGAAAGAAGAACAATGGGTCTCAGAGGAGACAATGCAGGGAGCTTAAGAAAACAAAAACGTTCGAATTTTCTCTGAAAGTTGAGAAAACAATGAATCCAGGGACAAGAGGCTGTGGTGACCAGGGAGGTAACAAAAAGGAGCTCTTAGGAATGAAAACCTGAGCTCAAAAGTCAAACTCTGATGTGATGAGGAAGATCTACGGCCTGGTAGACGGAAGGACCTGCTGTGAGGGGCCACCGCTGTTCTCCCACAAACACAGTAGGAGGAAACTCCAGTCTGTACCTTTAACCTGGTTTTTGTTTTTTAATCCTCACCTGAGGATATCTTTTCCATGGATTTTCAGGGGGTGGCAGGTAGAGAGAGAGAAACATCCATGTGAGAGAGAGACATTGATTGGTTGCCTCCTGCATGGGCTCTGACTGGGGCTGGAGATCGAACCTGCAATCCAGGTTCATGCCCTTGACTGGGAATCGAACCTGCAACCCCTCAGTGCATGGGCCAGCCCTCCGACCACTGAGCCACACAGGCCAGGGCTTCACCTGGTTTCCTGCAAGGACAGACACACACTCTCCTCTGCTCTCTGGAGCCAAGGAGGACATGCGATGGTGGAGGGGAGGGCATGACATCCGGGAGTTGCACTCTTGCCCAGGGTTGGTGTGGTCGGCTGGGACGAGACCCCACACGACCCTCCCCTCCAGGGTCTTGACCCCAGAATATGACTGTGTCTCAGCAGGAAGCCTGGCTTGGGAAGGAAGCCGGGGACCGTTCACTGCCAACAGGGAAGGTTGAGGCCACAGTGGGTTTGGACACCGTCTCTGAGGCTGCGGTGAAAGCCAGGAACGAGTCCGGTCTCCGCAGGGGGACTCCCCGGAGCCAGACGAGCGTGGCTGGGCTGGAAGGTCTGGGAGCCGTGCAGCCAGGTGCCCTCCAGTCGGTTCACCCAGCATTCCCCCCCAGAGCGGGTGCAGTCACCCCGAGATTCTTCACGTGAAATAGCCAACCTACTGGGCTGGGTCCAATCCAACCCTTTTACACGTTATTTTAAAGGCACAAAGCGAGAGGCCCCAGGGGCCGGTCAGAAGCCGGGGGCAGCTGGAAGCCACTAGCGCCTGCGAGAGGCCATTCGCGGTGAGACGGGCATTCTGAAGTGACCCGAAGACTCTAGGTGGCACCAGGAACGGAACTGGGAAAAGCAGGTGGGAAAATTCAAAGGCTCCAGGGCGGCCCCTCCCTCCCTGCAGCCCAGGCCTTTCCAAGAGGGCCCAGGAGCAAGCGTGTCCTCTGAGCCCACGTGGGCCAGTGTCCTGGTCCCCGGAAGGCACTGGGAAGGCACGGTCCCCGGTTTCAGGAGCTGCGAGCATCAGGCGAGTGGCGTTTGGATAGGCTGCCCTCCCCCAAGGTCCAGGCCACCCTCCTATTGCCTAGGGGAGCCCAGGGGAGCCTGCTAATGGGCTCTTCATGAGCAGAAGACACGGGTGGCTCAGCGGCAGCTGGCACCCCAGGGAGAACCTAACCTTTGACCCTTCCTGGGGGCAACAGAATGAGAAAACCAAAATGCATTCATTGTGGCTGAAATCTATGTATGAAACAGACATGACAACGTGTTTATAAAACTCCTGGCTTCCCAGAGTCAGCCGGGAGCTCCAGCTATTTCTGGAATTCCACTCTGCCTTTGCTCACAAGCGCTGTCAGGAAAAACAACTCCGTGTCCTCGTCCGTAGGCTATAGCTTTGCAGGTGCCCAGGCACATGGAGATGCACAAGAGCAAGACAGGGCCTCCGCGCTGTTTCCTGCTGGCTTCGGGATGGATCTTGTCCTATTGGCCCTTGATGACAACTAGTAGGGGTGCACTCTCTAGGGCAGTGTTGGTGAACCTTTTGAGCTCGGCGTGTCAGCATTTTGAAAAACCCTAACTTAACTCTGGTGCCGTGTCACATATAGAAATGTTTTTATATTTACAACCATAGAAAAACAAAGATTTATATTTTTGATACTTATTTCATATATTTAAATGCTATTTAACAAAGAAAAATTAACCAAAAAAATGAGTTCGCGTGCCACCTCTGACACGCATGTCATAGGTTCGCCATCACTGCTCTAGGGTGAGGGGGGGCCCGAAGCAGGCTTGGGACAGGGGTTGAGGAGCCTCCTGCAGATCCAAGTTGTGCCCACAGAGGGCACTAGACCAGGGTGTGCTCAGCCTTGGCTTGGCCAGAGGGGCCAGAGAGGGAGGTGGAGGCCAGGTTTCCCCATCAGAGTCATTCCCAGCATGGACGGGGCAGGGTGCCGAGCTGGCGGGCACCGTATCCTGCTGTTCCCAAGGCTCTTGCTGGTGCTGCTGGCCTCGGCCTGGGAGCCTCCGGGGAAGAGGCAACAGGGACCCCCCAGCTCCCATTCCTGGAGAAGGCCAACAACTTCTGTCCCACACACTCTTCAACCCAGAGTCCTCCCACAAGACTGCTCTTCCCTCAATGAGCAGGAGACCGCCAGCTGCCTTGAACTTGCCAACCCAACCACAGCTGGTGTTTCCGCCCGTTCTCACAGCCCCCCCAGCTCTTCCAGGGTAATCACCAGTGACTTGCATGGAGAATCTTGGCCTGAAAAGCAGCCGTTTCTTTTCGTTCTGTCTACCCTCTCCTCCTCCATTCGCTTTCCTCATTTTTCCCCCTTCCTCATTCTTAACTTCATAAAAAAAATTAAAAACAAATTTTTTTTTTTGCCTAGAAGATAAGTGATTTTACAAAATCTGAACAAATACGCTAACCAGTGAAATAAAACCAAACCCTGGAGGTACTTGTGGCTCACAAGTCACACTTGAAACATGATCTCGCAAGTGTCCTGGGTGGGCATTCCAGTGGCTGATATATGGGGAGATTTCGTTTCTCCTTTGGTCAAAATAAAAAGTCCCAGAATGCCTTCCTCTCTCCATCAACCCAGGAAATAAACCAGTGATGCTGGCTTACGTAACTGCCTCAGGGAACGGCTCTCCTAGCAACACTACCGTGAGCATTCGTGAGCATTAGGAGGGTTCTGTCGCTCCGCCCTGCCTGTTTCATGAAGAGGGAGACTCAATTTGAGTGGCGTGAGTTGCCCACAGTCATCCAGCAAGAGCTGAGAACTGCAGGTGCGTATGGGCTCTTTCAGCACCTGGTAAGTGCCCTCAAAATCTCTCTTCCCATAGCTCGTCCCGGTGAGGACCCCCTCACACATGACCAAAAATCCAGCTGCTCCTCCATGAGGACAACAGAGTGGTAACCGCAGGAGGCAAGGCCCCCTCACCCCCCACTCCCCCAAGCATGGGAAAAACAGGTGACAGTGGAAGGAGCAACAGGCCGTTTAACAGCAGCCTCCAAGCATCTCCTCTGATGTGTTTATTAATGACAGACAAATAGTGGCTGTAGGTGGAGGAACCTGGCCGGCACCACCCTCCCTGTAGGGAGTGAGAGGCTGTGCCCCGCACCCCAGTTCACACACGGAAGCCCTCCCCCCAGTGTGACGGCATTTGGAGATGGGCCTTTGGGAGGCGATCAGATGAGGTCGCTGGGGTGGGATTCTCATAAGAAGAGACCAGAGAGCTTGTTCTCTCCCACCCCTGCCCCATGAGCGCGCACGGCAAGGAGACAGCCAGGCGAGAACCGCACCAGAACCCTGCCGTCTGGGACCCAGTCCCGGACTCCCAGCCTCCTGAACTGTGAGAAAAGAAATGTCTGCTGTGTAAGCCACCAGGCTGTGGTGTTTTCCTACAGGCGCTCGAGCTGACGAAGACCTCGCCCAAGGGATGAAGGGCACCATGGCAATAAGGCACAGGCCCCCCCCGCCCCCTTGACGTATCACTAACGGCCCATGCCCCCGGCGCCCCCCCCAAAAACCTATCACCTCCTTCTGCTCCCCAAATCACCACTGAGGGCCTGCTTCCAACCCCCTTGAACAGCCCCTGCACAGAAGTTTCCCTTTCCCGGGCCCCAGAAGAAAACAAAGACCTCAAGAAGCCAAAAGGGAAGGCTGATGGCGCCGCGGGAACGGAAGAGACGTGAGTGGAAAACGGCGGCATCTGAACCACGTCTGTCGTCCGTCGGTGGCAGTGTCACTGTCGGGGTTGGTGATGCCTGTGGTTAGGCAAGATGGTCACTCTAGGGGAGGCTGGGCTTTTCCAACCCTCCCAAGGCTAAATTATTTAAAATAAAAAGGTCTATAAAGGTCTGTCCCTGACTGGAGCCTTCCTGTGGGTCTCATCAAAGAGGACAGATGGTGTCCAGAACCTTGTTTGTCCTGAATCAGTTGTCCGGCTGAGGACACCCTCGCAGGGACACAGAGTGGCATTTCAGTTTGTGTGTGTGTGTTTGGGGGGGGGGGGGACGGGGGGGGGCTGAATTATGAGGGACAACCTAGGACACCCGTGACCTGGGACGAAAGGCCAAGGACATCTCAGGATGAGCAGTGAGGGGGCGGCCGCTGCTGTAAAGAAGTTGGAAGGAAGAGATTGGCCGAGGGAAGGCAGCTGGTGGTGCTGGGTTCCTTCCTCTCCAGGCAGGGGAGCTGTCCCCTCGAGGCCAGGACCGCTGCAGGGGAGGGGAGGGGAGGGGAGGGGAGGGTAGGGGAGGGAAGGGAACAGCAAGCAGATTTCTGAACTCTGGCGCCCCCTGCCGAGCGCTGCTCAGCTCAGGAAAGCTGCGGGCATCACAGTGGGCCCTCTGGGTGCTCCTCCCCCAAAGGAAACCTGTACTTGGAGCCTGGAGGCCACAGCCGGTGTGAGACCTCGGCCAGCACCACGCCAGGGCGGCGGCGGCGAGGACCTCGGCTGCCCCTGGCTGAGGGAGAGCAGCCCGTTCCCGGCCGGCTCCCTCGTTACCTGTGATCCTGTTGGAAATGCTGAAGAGCCGGGACGTCCTCTGCCGCTGGACGAAGGGCTCCCGGTAATACCGGTCCCCGCAGCACATGCCCAGCAGCTCCCTGCGAACCGTCTTGTTCCAGAGGCCGTAGATGAGGGGGTGGCAGGCGGCGCTGGAGAAGCTCAGCCACGTGGCCCAGGTCTCCAGGCGCGGGGAGACGCAGTTCTTCCCCCAGAGGGCCTCGCAGGTGATGACCACCATGTAGGGGCCCCAGGTGACCATGAAGGCGCCCAGCACCACCAGGATGGTGATGAGGGCTTTGCACTGGTTGGCGGAGTAGACGACGCCCTGGAAGGCGTTCCTCCGACTGCCCGAGGAGGAGGTGGAGGTGCTGGAGTTCTTGCGCCCGGTCCCCTGGGCGTCCTCCTGCCCCAGGACCACCGTGCCACAGTGCACCTTGCGGGCCTTGACCCTGGCCACGCGGAAGATGAAGCCGTAGCACACGAGCATGACCAGGAAGGGGAACAGGGCGCACCAGATCTGCCAGAAGGCCGTGTAGCCGGGCTCCCGGTGCCACGCGGCCACGCACATCCACTTGAACTCGTCAAACTCCACGGAAGACCAACCGAAGAGAGGCGGCAGGCAGCCGATGAGGGAGTGGAGCCAGATGTAGACAAGAGCCATCACGGCTCGGTTCCCCGTAATCTTCATGGGGTACACCATGGGGTACAGGACAGCGTAGTAGCTGGGAAGGACGGGAGGCGAGAGAGGATCAAAACAGAGAAAACACCAGGCTGGGCACGCGCCGCTTTCCGGGCGGAGAGCACCTCCCCACCCAGATCGTGACCGAGGGACACGCTGGCTGGGAGAGGACTTCCCCAAGGGCAGTGCACGCAGGGGAGGGGCGGCCACGCAGACGCCGCCTGGTGCAGGCAGGACGTGCGGAAGGACTGTGGCCACGAGCCTCACATATCACCTGTGAAGCCACCTCATCCACCAGGACCATCTTGAGTCACTGGGGACCCAGCTCCGAGGTCAGCCCGAGGCTGCCGATCTCACATCTGGCCTGGACATGGCGTTTCCGTGTGCCCCGGGCACAGCCATCTGTTACCCTGGCGTCTGGGTTTACATCTCACAAGGCCATGCGTGCAGCAGAGAGAGAAACAGGCCTCCGAGCAGGGGCGCCTGGCTCCACGGTGCTCAGCCGTCTGCTGGCTGTGTGGCCCGGGGAAGCCGACTCAACCTCCCAGAGCTCTGTTCCTCCATCTGCGACACGGAGCCACAGAGCCTCGCCACCGATCTGTGCGAGGACGGAGTGTGCCCGCGAGGGCCGGGCCTGCACCGCGCCACCCTTCAAAGGGCAGTGGGGGCCCGGCTTGTCTCTGCCTGGCCACCCACTGCTCCCCTTCCTTCTTGAGGACGGGACGCCCTCTTGTTTGTGCTCCCGTAAAGCTGCTGTGACCACAGCAGCCGGAGTCCTGGGGAACGAGTCAGGCCGTTCTGGTGGTCACCTTGCCGGTGACGGGTGGAGACACTGCCTGGGTCCCATCATCCTGGCAGAGGAAATGTGAGGGGAGTTTGCCGAGGGCACTTCTGAGAACATTTCCTTCACGTTCAAAAAGAACCAAGGCTAGTTTCTTTGTTTCTGAAACACATGCAGGCCCCTGGCCTCAGGCCCCAGGATGGCCAGGCAGCAGGGGTGCGGGGAGTGGGGGGGGGGGGCGCCTAGAGCAATGATGGCGAACCTTTGACACGCGTGTCAGAGGTGACACACGAACTCGTTTTTTTGGTTGATTTTTCTTTGTTAAATGGCATTTAAATATATAAAATAAATATAAAAAATATACATCTTTGTTTTACTATGGTTGCAAAGATCAAAAAATTTCTCTATGTGACACGGCACCAGAGTTAAGTTAGAGTTTTTCAAAGTGCTGACATGCTGAACTCAAAAGGTTCGCCATCACTGGCCTAGAGAATGCCAGCTGTCCTGGCTCCTCTGACCAACCCGCCTCGACATCGCAAAAACAATCACGATGAATAACCGTCCTTCGCAGCACAGCCTCTGGCTATTCTCAAGACGCTGTTAGTGTTAGCACTTTATGGCAAGACTTGGGCTTTATTGTGACAAATGGTGTTTATATCCCTCGCTGACTAAGGTTCTGGCAGGAGCAAGTCCAGCGTGACAGTGAGTTCTCCCAGCTGCGTCCGAGCCCCGTGGGCATGCCCAGCCCGAGGAGGCCCCACAGACCGGCCAGAGCACTGCCATGTGCCTCCACACCCGCCAGGGGTTATTTGGTTTCAGGGGGGTTTGGGGTGGGGGGGAATTTATATACATGGAAATGCACAAATCTGCCCCTCTATCATTTCCGTGTCTGCCACAAAAGATGGATTTCATAGATTTGAAACTTCATGTTTGAAATTTAAGCCTCATTCAGGCAGGTTCAGAGGAAAATGGAGAAAAGGGCAGCTTCCCCCGCGGGGGAACGCAGGCGAAGTGCGGGGGGTGGGGGTGGGGGGGTCCCTTTGCTCCCTGTACCCTCAGCTGTCTTCTGAAGGCCTCCGTCTGTTCTCCAACAACTCACGCTTCGCCTGGAGCCCAAGCGGGCCTTGTCCCCTGAGGCTTCCTGATGTCACCTGTTGCTGAAAGGCCGCCGGGCACATATGGGCTCCAACGCTCAGCTCCCCTGCACCGAGACCAGTGACCTTGATATGACCCTGGCTTTAACAGGAGGCTCCCCGCCCCGGGGAGCACAGTAACTCATGCTGAGGGTGGCTTTCCTCACCAGAACTGACAGGCCATGGCTCCAGCTACTAGTACTTTCTCTGATTGGAACGCGGCTGAGAGCTGGAGTTCCATCCGGCGTGAATGACCGCCGGCTCCCTTCCCTCAACGTCCTCCCCTGTGCGGACAGCCGCCAGGACTCTGGCCTTGGGCCTGGCCTGTGCCCTGGATGGACAATCCAGCGACCATTTGTCAGCTAAAAGCCTGGTGGTCCCAAGGGAACCCGGGGACTGTGTCAGCCACGGACAGTGTCACTGGCTTGTCCCTTCTGTGCTTCCCAGACTGCTTCTTCCCTAATTCTGTATGTCACGCTGAACCTGAGTCTACCCTCCTGCCCGGAGGAAGTCCCCCCTTGCCTGGGATGAATGCTGACCATCAGCAAAATGCAAATCACCAAGCTGAATCCAGGGCGGAACTTGCCACGGAAGCCGAGCGCCCCCTGGGACAGCACACAGCGGGAATCGGAGGGCGCCTGTCGGATGCAGCGAGGGCACCCGCAGGCCCTCCTTACTGGGCCACTACACCGCGAGGAGGGCCCCAGCCTGCTGAGGGCACGTGCACCTCTCAGGCGCCTGCATCTCCGTCCCTGGGTTGTCTCCCTTCCCTGGCTCTCCGTCCACCCGGAGGGGAGGCTGGTGAGGTCCCTGCACTGTGGCCAGGGGACAGTGTTTCCTCTTTGCGTCCCCACCCCAAGCCCAGCTCTGGCCCAGGTCAAAGCCACAGGCAGCGGACAGGTCTAACCCCTCCTCTGCCATGTCACCTTCCGCAGCTGCTGTTTCTCATCTGTACGCTAAGAATCGGGGTCTCTATGAATGTTTTTTTTAAAGCCATGGAACCTCTTTTAAAAAAACTACAGAGAGAATTATATCTAAACATATACAAATCATGGATGGGCCCTGATGGGCTCTGGACTCGAATGCCCACTGCCAGCCCCTCCCAGGGTGCAGCCTCTCTCTCTGGGCCTGGGCAGGGGCAGGGACGTAATGCTGGAAAGGGCTCCATGTTCAATGACACTAAACAGAATGCAAGAGCAAACACCTATATGATAAATGATAAATAAAACTCCACGCAAGAGAGACGAGGTAAGACCCGAGGTCCTCTGGCTGAAGGGACGGAAGCGAAGGCAGACTCTGCCTTCTCCCCTGGCCCCACAGAGCCCGGCACCCTCCCAAGGGACTCAGCGTGACAGTCCCAGGGCCAGGTGACCGCTGCGGGTCCCTCTGCGGCAAGCTTACCGGTCGATGGCAATGACCCCGAGGGTGAGCATGCTGGCCGAGCTGATGAGCAGGTACAGGAGGGCGGAGAAGTTGCACCAGACCACCCCGAAGATCCATTCCCGCCGAAGGGAGCTGGTCACCACGAAGGGCAGCACCAGCACGGACAGCAGGAAGTTGGACAGCGTCAGGCTGAAGACGAACTTGTTGCTGAGGGTGAGGAGGTAGGACTTCTTGTACAAGGTGACCACGATGACCAGGTTGCCCAGGCAGACGAAAATGGTGATGACCACGATGGCGATGAACTCGGTGACGATGGCGCCCCCTTCACCAGCCGCCGCCCCCGTGCGGTTGCTCAGCTCCTTCCAGTGGCCCAGAGAGGAGTTGAGGCTCATGGTCAGTGCGCCTGGGCGTGGGGTGGGCGCAGCATGCTGGATGACTGGAGGGACAGGGCAAGACGGGGGACAGGAGAAGGTCATCGGATCAGATCACCCGACCTCCACAGAGAGCAGCAGAGGCCCCAGGCCCCCAGCTCGTCCAGAGACTCAGCCAGCCTCCCCGCCACGCTCTACACACACGGCCTGTTTTCTACACCCACTCTGTGTGCCGCTCATTGTGTCCCCGTGAACGAGGCAGCCCTCCGTTCTAAACGACCCATCCGTTCTGCAAGGCCAGCAGTTCCGACCTTGACTGCACCGAGTCACCCCGAGTGTCAGCTCCAAGGGTCACCTGCTAGATTCTGGTCCCAGAGACCAGAGGTGCGCCTAGGAATCTGCATGTGAAACGGACTGGAGCAGGTGGTTCTGGTACAAGTGGCTTACGGAGCACACTGTGGTCGGATCCTGCCACTCCCTGATCCCGCAGCAGCCTCGGACCTGGGAGCTTCCCCGACAGGTAGCCTCTCAGGCTCCACCTGGCACTCACAGCACCAGGTCCGGGAGCTGATCCCCTCACTTCCCCCCGCTGACCCGTGTGCACTGAAGGGTGACAGCAGGGCTCCCGTGCTCGCTATTTCTGAGGTTCCTGATTGGGCAGGAGCGAGTGCACTTCGCACGGAGACGTTGACATCGCTCGTTGCGTAGAAGGACCCCGGAACTGATTGTCAATGGGAAGTGGAGGACCCGGTAGGTCTCTGGACCCAGACACCACATTCTCGGAGAGCCGCGAGACCTGCGCTCAAGAAACTGCTATCAGGATTTGGCTAAGACTCAACATTGAAACATGCTAGCATTCTGGGCTGCTGATGGATGTCTCTAAAAAATGTTTGTCTGCTACAGATCAGCCAAAGAATCCCACGATCA